CCCCGAATCCCCCTGCCCTGGCCCGCCCACGGACAGCCCAGACGCCCCCGCCCCCGTCGATCTCGCCGCCCGGACTCACACCCCAGACTTGCGGCCCCGGAGACCCCGCCAGCTCCAGCCAGCCCCATTTCGGGGACGGCGGCCCGGGCCCCGCCCCCGAGCCCCTCACACTCGCCTCGCCAGCTCCAGCAGCACGTTGGTCTGGGTTCCGTGCTCGCGGTTCAGCGGCTCACAATCGTGCTCGTCGAAATAGGACGCCATCGCGGCCCCGCGGTCTGACACAGCTCTAGGACCCGGCCGGATGGCGGACCGGCGGCGTCGGCCAATAAGCCGGCGAGTTGGGAAGAGCTGGCCAATCAGAGCGCCCAAGGGCGGGGCGCGAGGGGGGCTCTTAAAGGGGCAGAAAGCGGAAGTGCTCGTTTGGCCACCCCTCATTGGCTTGAGTAAGTCAGGTGACCAGAGACAGCCGCCAATGACAGCCGGCGGAGTCTAGTCGGAAACATCAGTTTGGGAATCCGAGCCCCATGTAAGTTTCCCGGGAGTTTCTGGCGCGGTCGGGCGCATGGGTTGCAAAATCCTCCATCTGCCCGGATGCCCAGGCTTCGGCAGTGCGGATGCTCGAGGCCTCGCAGAGGGCGGTACCGACCCCAGGGCTGGGGTCCGCTGGCGTGGAGTCGGGGCGCTTCCCCGCTACCCTGCCCACGTCCCCGCAGGGCACTTCCACCCCGCTGCGCTCCCGTTGATTCAAGAGTGTGGGCTCGATCCACGCCCCGACCCCTGGAAAAAAAATGTCTATGCATTTCTTGTGTATTAGGCACAATAATAAAAGGTGGGCAAACCTCTCCAAACCAGAGAGGGCAGGTCTCTGTCGGGGAACCTGTGGCCTCACGGGCTCACCGGACTGAACATCTGCTCCCTGCTCAATCTCATCCCTCGTTTCTGTTGAAAGGAGTGGTTCGAATTAAATATCCCTAGCTACACACGAATCCTCTGCGGAGAGAAGGGGCGTGGGGAGAGCTTTAGAAAACAACACTCAGCCGGGCTCGGTGGCTCAGCCTGTAATCCCGCGCTTGGGGAGGCTGAGGTCAGTGGATTGCCCAAGCCCGTGGGTTCGAGACCCGCCTGGGCAACTTGGCGAGCCCTCATCGCTACAATGAATAAATTTTAAAAATTAGCCAGGTGTGGTAGCTCGCGCATGTAGTTCCAGCTACTCGGAAGGCTGAGGCGGAAGGATCGCCAGATCCCAGCAGGTTGAGGCTGCGGTGGCTGGGAGCGGCCACTGCACTCCAGTCTGGGCAACGGAGTGAGACTCCAACTCAAAGAATAGAAAAGAGAAGAAAACAACACTCATGTCTGATACCCTCGAAGATTCTGATTTAACTGACTTATTGTGGGGTCTAGGCAGATGTCATTTGTATAAATTCGCAGGTGATTCTGATGTGAGACAGGCTTGGAAACCACAGTACTCAATGCTTTGGATGACGTCTACTGTTTCGCATCTAGAACTGTCCCATTGGTGGGTATTCTACACACAGTCAATAGTCTTCTCAATAGTCTTGTTATGCCCTTTTTATATATGTAACTTCTCAGAAGTGGCTGGTCCCGATTCACCCAGCCTGTCAGTGGTGTTGCTGACCCACTGCAGGGCCAAGTGCGTTCCTCTGCCTTTCCGAGGTGAGAAGATGGTAATAAGCCCAGTGAAAATAACAAGCTCTGTAAGGGCTAAGGCGTCACACAACTCTCAGGGTTTGTTCTTGTCTATCAATAGCCCTCACTCTACCTAGCAAAGAACTGCTTATTTTACAAACTTGACGCTGAGTTGCTTTGTCACTCACCATTGAGGGGTTTTTTTTGTTTTTGTTTTTGTTTGTTTTTAGTTTTTTGCTTTGTTTTGAGTTAGAGTCTCACTCGGTTGCCCAGACTGGAGTGCAGCAGCACGATCACGGCCACCACAGCCTCAACCTGCTGGGCTCAGGTGATCCTCTTGCTTCAGCCTTCCAAATAGCTGGAACCTCAGGCATGCACCACTACACCCGGCTAATTTTTTGATTTATTGTAGAGACAAGGTCTCGCCAAGTCGCCCAGGCTGATCTTGAACCCCTGGGCTCAGGCAATTACCTTGCTTCCACTTCCCAAAGTGCTGGGATTACAGGCATGAGTCACCATGCCCAGCCCACAGTTAATCAGCTCAAGCAGAGGCGGCCCTGTTTACACAGTCTTGGTGTGACCTTCTCTCCTTCCCCCATGCTTTTACCCAATGGTCTTTGCTGTGTGTAGCCTGAAGGTACTGCTCGCCTGCTCCTGTGTGGCTTTGAAAAGCCTGGTTTCAGCCGGGTCGGTGGCTCAGCCTGTAATCCCGCGCCTTTGGGTGGCTGAGGTGAGTGGATTGCCTGAGCACGCAGGCTCGAGACCCCTGGGCAACTCGGCGAGACCTCATCTCTACAATAAATCAAAAATCAGCCGGGCGTGGTAGCGCACGCCTGTAGTTCCGGCTACTTGGAAAGCTGAGGCAGAAGGATCGCCAGAGCCCAGCGGGTTGAGGCTGCGGTGGCCAGGAGCGGCCACTGCACTCCAGTCTGGGCGACAGAGTGAGACTCCAACTCAAAAAAAAAAGAAAGAAAGAAAAAAGCCTGCTTTCCTACAGGACAAACTCCTCCAAGGCCACCCTTTGTGACCCTGCATTACGGAACCATAGAAGCCCTCCCTTTTTCACTGCCACTTGCCTCATCTGCAGTCTGATGCAAAGCTTGAGGAAGAATGTGGACAGAAAAATTAGGAAGGAAAAAGTGTTCAGAGGGGAAAACCTTGTATCAGGAGGTGAGGGGCTCGTGAAAATTTTTTGAAGTGTCCCCCTCTTTGCCATCCCATCTAGAGTCTCATTGGTCCTGTGAGCAATCCCAAGATGTCAGAAAAGTAATAGATTTCATTCTTAGAGAAACAGGCTCAGAGATGGAGGACTGGTTCAAGGGCTGGTTTGGAAACTTATGTTCTTGGACCCACACTTCAGGTCTGTCTGTCTATGTAGGGCTGGATTAAGTAGGGTAGGTGGAGTCCTCTGGATGGTAGGCTTTCTCATCAGCCCCAAGGGTAGAGACACAGTGAGATTAACCAACCAACCCGGGGACCTTCAGACACACACACGCACACCCGCTAGCTTTTAACCAAACAGCAGCAGCTTTTACTGAGCTCCAGGTGGGGCTGGACTGGCATGGCCAGTACAGCAGGCTGCCCTCGAGGGCCAGTCTGTGGCATGACGGGAGACGCAGAGGTGCACGCATCAGGGCTGCCCTTCGGCTCCCACTGGGGAGGCTCAGATGGGAGCAAACACCAGGGTTCTCCGGAGACCAGAACCGGCCAGTTCAGCCATCGGGCCTCTCCCTCGGTCCCAGCTGGGCTAGGCCCCAGACCTCGAGGCAGTGCCTGCATCCTGGGCCTGTGGGGCACTGTGGCTCCCACTGCTCTGTGGGAGAAGGACGGCCAACAGGACAATCAGGAGGATGAGCACACCACCGCCCACCACCAGCCCCAAGTAGATCCGGCAACGAGTGTTCTCCCAGCGTTTCTTCTGGGCCAGGGTCTTGGTTGTCTTGCTGAAGGCTGAGCTCTGTGAACAGCCAGACACAGGGTGGGGGTTAGCTGGCTCCCCCGCTGGCCTCAGAACCAGCTCCTCTCAACCTCGCCCCAGCAAGGCCTGGCCTCCCCCTGCAGCCTCCCATCCTGTCTGCTCCCTTTCTCTAGGCCACCTGCCCGGGGACCCTCCCAGCCTAACTCTGCCTCTCAGACACTGTGTAACTCTTGGCTTTCAGCCCTAGTGGCTCACCCGCGGTTAACCCATGCCAGTCCTCCACCTTTAGGGAGGCCCATGGCTTCAAACCAAAGACATCTTACTTCATGGGGCTGACCGGTTTCACATCTAGGCTACGGGTGAGTCATGAAACCCAGAGGCTCCACACTGGCCCCCAAGAAGGCCCCCAGCCCACCGAGGGCTGGGAACACTGAACACAGCCTAAGAACTCCTCTGAGGGCTTCACCAAGCCTCTCCCCCGCCCTCCCTGCTCCCGCGGGCCTCACACCATGTCCAGGAGTTGGTCTGAACGCTGCTCCAGCTCGGCCAGCTTCCCGTCACGCTCCAAGACCTTGTCGAAGTTGTTGAGCATGATTTCCGTCACTTCGTCCGCCTGCTGCTGGCACTGCTCCAACTCTGTCCCTGCCTGGGCACCAAGCCCGAGGTCAGGGCTGCGTGAGGCCCCCAGCTGGCCTTCTCTGGGCCTTGAGATCTCAAAGCCCCTTCCCCTACTGAACCCATGGATACAGCTTGAGGAACAGCGTGCTTCGAGTAAGGGGCAAGACGTGTGCAAAGTAGAGGCTGCCTCCAGGGTGAGTGCGGTTCCACTTGGTCTCACAGGCGCCTCCCTTACCCATCAAGGCAGGGCCAGACGGGCCTGGCTTCCAGCATCTCAGCTGCCTCTGAGCTGTCCTTCCCAGGACCCCACCCTCCCACAAAGCAGAGCTTTGCTCACCTGCTCCAAGATGGCCTCTACCCAGTGCACACCTGCCCTGAGGCTTCCCAAGGGCCTAAGGCAGCAAAGAACAGAGAACCAAGTACTCGGCTGGAGGCCAACAGGGAAGAGATCCATCCCACAGAGCCAGTCAGGCAGTTTTGGACCAGCACGCATCACAGGCTCGGCCTGGTCTCCCACCTCAAACTGAGACACTCAGGTCTCCCTCCTTGGGCTTCTGACTGGCCAGGCCAGCTCAGCCTCCTGGCCTGATCCATTCCCCGTATCAGTCCCCCAAGTTCCCTGTCTGCCCGGGAACCTCAGCCGGCCTGGCCTCTGACCTCCGGCCTCCAGTGCTCGGTCAGCCAGGGTCTTTCCTGGAGTCCAACTTACAAAGATGAGACTAACCCTTGGATTTTCCAGCCTGCACAGCCGTCTTACCCGACAAAGAACCCCAGCTCATTCCAGAGAACTAGGAACAAAAGTGTAGGGTCCAAGCAGGGGGAGGTTGAGAGGACCGGGGAGGGAGAAAGTCTGGGTCATGAGCAAGACAGGCACTGGACTTTGGGTGCATGTGACAGACGCAGGGTAGGAGACCCTGGTGTGATCAGAAGGCCCACCGCAGCAGTTCAGGACAATTTTGGGGAACCGAATACCAGCAGATGAGCAAACCACGGCAACTCCCTCTCGCTGGTTCACACAGCCCATCCCTGAGGCCAGGCTTCCCTTCCTGCCAGCCCACATTGCCCATTGTCTGCAGCAGACATTCCGGCACTTAACTGAATTCCGCTAAAACCAGAAAACTTAAGTGTTGGAAGGAATCTGGTGGTCACAGAGGACCACCTCCTACTCAGGCAAGAACGCTTCTTCAGGATCTGTGCAGCTGCCTCGCACACAGCCTCCAAGCATTCCGGTGCATGAGTCCCGTCTCTCCAACTAGACCACAAGCTCTGGGGGGTGGGGGGGTGGGGGCAGGGAGCAGTGCTCCACCTCCCTCCTCTACCCCCTGGGGGGCCAGGAGGCCAGCGCGGTGCTGACCACTGCAAGGATTCAGTGGGTCAGTTACATTGCAGCCTAAGGAAGAGCACTCTCATTCTCAAGAGATGTTCTCACAGAGTGTTTATCCAGCCCAGCAGGAGTTTTGAGGGGCAGACATTTGAAACCCAAATAGGTCAATATTTACCCATGCCTAGGAAAGCAGCCTGCTTCAAGAGGGGCAGGCACACCGCTGCAGGGGAGGGTGCACTCCCAGGCCGGAATGCAAAGGAAAGGCAAGGAGAGCAGAGACTCTGCAGCCTTCAACCTTCTCCTGAGTCAGCCCCATCCCCACTGTGTCTACCATCATAGTATTCAACAGGTTCCAAACTCCATCCTTTGAACTTGCCCACGTTCACTTAGTCCAAGGCAAGAACTTGAGAATGGACAAAGATTTGAATATAAGAATCACTGCTAGGCCGGGCTCAGTGGCTCAGTCTGTAATTCCAGCGTTTTGGGAGGCCGAGGTGAGTGAATTGCCTGAGCCCGCGGGTTCGAGACCCGCCTGG